CTGCCTGTGGAGGGGACCCTTCCCAACCTGGTCTGATGGAGCAGGTGTATCCTGCGAGTCTAGTCCTCAGTTGTCATGGTGATGAGTCTGCCTGTGGAGGGGACCCTTCCCAACCTGGTCTGATGGAGCAGGTGTATCCTGAGTCTAGAGCTGCAAATGGGAAGGCACCGCCTGGGGCTTCAGAGCCAGGTGGGGGCTCGTGATGAGTGTCACAGCACCTCTTAAAGGCAGCATGGGACTTCTGACCCCGACAGCTCACGGTGACATGGGTGCACATCGGTCTTCCTGTCTGGAGAAATACAAAGGGAGCTGAAAAGCACAGGCTGCCAAAAGGTCGGTTTGAAGCTCAGACTTGTTCTTCCTTCTGCCAAGTCGCTTGACCAGGGAAAAGAACTAATGTTTAGTGATCACACATCTTCCATTTCTCAGCTTGGGGCCCGTGATGAAAACAAAGGGATCTATTCCCCAGTGAGGATTCTTTCCATCCCACCTGGCCTGTTGCCACCTGCTCTGTCTCTATCTGTGAACCAGCAGCAGTGACTCCAACAGCAGGACTGGAAGGAGGAGAGGCCTGGGGGCTGTGTTAGGAAGGATCCTGAGGCCCACCTGGACAGATGTGCCTGGGCCAGGATGCCTGGACACTCACTTCAGGGGCTGTGCTTTGCCCTAGGGAGCAGCTCACGTCCCTCCTCTGCCCTGGCCCCTGGCGTGGTTAAGCTGCTTCTGGGGCAGCTGGACATTTCTTGGTTTAATTGCACTTTTCTTTCCTGAGAAGGTGATACACAGCTACAGTGCTCTATGACATACTGTACCATACAAGCAAGCCCTCCAGGAGTGGTGGCACACCATAGGGACAGTGGTCTTTTGGTTCACTGTGGCAGGGCTCTGGACACCCATGTAGGGCCTCCAGGAGGACCAGAAACTGGAGGCCCAATAGCCCCTGCTGTGGTGCCCACGGTGGGGATTTGGGGAGAAGCGTCTCACCTTGCTGTGGCTGTGAGGAGCCATGTTTTATTCTTTCTTACAAATGAGGTTAACCTGGGCCAGCCAGCTCCCCAGAGCACTTCCTTAGGGGATGAGGGCACCAGACCTGTACTGAATTCATGGGACGGCATAACTTAGCCTAACTAACAAAAGGAAGCTATGTGTCCCGGTGCCACCATAACAGAATACCTGAGAGTGGGTAATTGATACAGAACAGACATTTATTTTCTTGAATTTCTAGAAGCAGGGAAGTCCAAAATCAAGGTGCTGAGAGTTTTGGTTATCTGGTGAGGGCTGTTCTCTGCTTCCAAGGTGGCGCCTTGATGCTGTGTCCTCTGGAGGAGAGGAATACTGTGTCCTCACGTGGGGGCAGGGGGACAAGGAGGAAGCCCCAGATAGATGGATGCGCCAAGGCCTCTTTTATGAGGGTCTTAATCCCATTCATAAGGGAGGAATCTTCATGGCCTAATAACCTTAAGATGAGGTCAAAAAACCCAGTATGACGGGTGTCCTTGTGAAAGGTGGGAGTTCAGACACAGACACAGGAATGATGCCCTGTGAAGATGAAGGCAGAGTTCAAGGTGATGCGTCTAGAAGCTAAAAACACCTAAGATTGCCAGGAGCCCCAGAAGCTGGAGAGAGGCCTGGAACAGAGAGTCTCTCTCACAGCCTCAGAAGGAACCATCCCTGGGGATACCCGGATCTTGCTTGGACTTCCAGCCCCCAGAACCACGAGACAGTACATTTCTGTTGTCTAAGGGCTGAAATCTCTGGAAAGGTGAGAAGTTAAACAGGTGAGTGAAAAACTCACTGTTACACATCTCAGAGCCCTTCTACATCCCAGGAAGCATGAAATATTTTCTGATAGAATCAAGCTCACTAATAGGCAAATGGAGTAGTGTAACTGAATGCCAGGTCATCCCATCCTGACAGAATGTGCGTC